GGGGAAGGCAGATCCACTTAACAACCGTGTGACTTGATAACTGCAGTGATTTCACTGAACGGCCGGTGGCGAGAGCGGTTGTAAAACGGGGCAAAAGTCACTCGGCAACTGTTCTCACTTAGCCACAGAAACTGGGGGTTCCACTGCAGTTGTATGTCAAGGACTGTCTCTTTTCCAAGAAAATGCCAAGCTCCAAAGTGTTTCTGTGCTGGGATTCCTTTTGTGCCACGGCTTCCATTCCGAGCGAGGAGAATTTTACCACGGTTGTGAAAATGTGTCATGTACATCCACATACATCAGCCACCCACTCATAAAGCCATCCAGATTTTGCTTTTCTAGTTAACTTAATGAAAATCAGCTCACAACTGTGAGACAGGATGAATCACTTACAATACCGTATGTGATGACTACAGAAAATTCAGCTTGTGGTGAATTTTTAAAAAAAAAAGGATTTTTTTTTTTGGTCTAGTCTAGTCTATATCGACGCTGCTAACACTGGATGTTTTGCATTGACAACAGATGGAAATGTAGCCCTCTTTTTCCCTTTTGATTTTAGAGTTAGATGATGCTGGGAGGAGGGAGCGATGTGAATGAGAGTCCAGCTAGACATAACAACACTAAACCTAGGGTGAGAATCAAGGTTATCGAGCCCAGAGCTGATAAATTGGTGGGCTGGGGAACTGGAGAGGTGCTTCAAGCTAATTGGGGAGTGTGATTTATGACGGTTAATTGGAGGAGGGAATTGTGCTTTGATACTATGTGCCCAGGGGAGGGGAACTCAGTTTTTGGCTTCGATTATGCAGTGCCGATATTATGCTACTCGGATAAAAGATTATTTACAGTAAACGATGCCTCGAAGTTCTTTTGAAGAGTTTCATATGTTGGAACCATGACAGTCTAGCTGTCTCATTGACAAGATTTCTTTCAACCAAACGAAGCGTCAATGCAACAGCAAGCTTCTCCGTTTTTATTTCAAGCCTTTAGAAATAATCTTATTTTGGAGTTAGCGGTTTCGTTTCGGAAATGAAGTTGGCTTTTACAGATTGAGTTCCATCTGAAATTTCACTTAGTTCTCTGACACCTTTTGTTTTATTTAAAAAAAACCCTCATCTTCTCATTTCCTTGCCAGAAATATTTTTTAAGTGTTCCCCCCCTCCAAGTTGATGGCTAGACTATTCCCCCCTCCCCTCATGAAGTCAGCTGAAGTGAAGCAAGCAGGAAGTGTACTTACTTGTAGTTATCGTCTTCCACAAATTTCTGGAGCTCTTCAATATACCGGACGGACTTCAAGTATTTTTGCACGTGGGGTAACATTAGAAGGTGATCTGCAGTAGCAAAAAGAAAGAAAAAAGTATATAAATCTCAAAAGTGTTATGAAGAAAAGCAATTTTTTGCAGCAACAAGCTGAAACTTTTGTTCCCCCTATCTAAACTCTGCCCACTGCCAGCAGTTTGATCCTGACCAGCTCAAGGTTGACTCGGCCTTCCATCTTTCTGAGGTGGGTAAAACGAGGGCCCAGGTTGTTGGGGGCCAACACGCTGACTTTGTAAACCGCTTTGAGAGGGCTGTAAAGCCCAGTGAAGCGGTAGATAAGTCTAAGTGCTGTTGCTATTAAGTGGAAATTCAAAAAACATCATTCTGGGGAAGCAAAACAACTCACAGCAGCCTACACCAATGGGCTGCACAGTTGATAAGAGTTGATAATGTTAGAAACCAAGTTTATATAGTTGATAACGTTATAACCAATGTCTGCAATGGAATTTATCCATAAAATGGGAAGGAAAGCATATCCCTTCATCCACCACATATGAACAACTGCAAACCTAGTCACCAAAACAAACAATGACCTATAAAAGATGGCGGAAACAAAATGACTTAGAACATTAACCCTCAAGGCCAGCTTTTACACAAGGGAGACCTCTGAGACTAATTTACTAAGTTGGCTAAGCCAGGTGAGGAGGCGGGTTTACCAACCGTAGCTACAAGAGACTTGCAAATCAGCAATTATTCGGAGGATGTTGTTCATTTGATTGGACCTTTGTTCGTTCTCCATGATGCTGCCGGAAGCTGGGTAGGCTGAATCAATGTAGATTAAGTCCAACAGATAAATCCCTAAAAGGAAAGAGAGAGATTCGTCGATAAGAGTTACAACCGACTTAACAGAATAACAAGAGTCGGAAGGGACCTCGGAGGTCTTCTAGTCCAGCCCCCTGCTCAAGCAGGAAATCTTACACCATTCTGAGCGAATGGCTGTCCAATCTCTTCTTAAAAACCTCTGAAGGCATCCTTAGTGACTTTGCTTGTCAGCCAGGTCGCAAAAAGGGACACGGGGACACTGCGACTGTCGTAAGTATGAGCCAGTTGCCAAGCGTCTGGATTTTGATCCCTTGGTCATGGGGAAGGTGCAACGGTCATAAGTATGAAAAACGGTCACTTTTTCCCAACTTTGAACGGTCACTAAACAAACTGCTGTGAAGCGAGGACCCTCTGCGTTAACCGCTTGTCTTTCAACCTCCATTCTTCCTAACGAAACGTAATCTGAGCACCGACAATTTGGGAACGAAAGAATGGGTGGCCAGTTCTGGAGGCAGCTGTCGTTCAAAGGAACTTTCAGTAAATGCAAAATCCCAAACGGACGAAGCCACAGCTGCTAAACAGCCCACATTTACGCCATTGGTATTTAGTATTATTAGTAACATTTCTGGGAACCTTAGGGATGGATGTTCGCTCATCCTCACTTGGAGATGTCAATCAAGTTCAAGACTTGCTCAAGTTAAATCTTGCCCGATCTTCTGCTGACTTACAGAACTGGTATCTGACCAAGGTTTGGGGTTCCCCCCCCCCTTTTACAGGAGAATTTCAGCTCTCTCTCTCCTTAAAGGAGTTAAGTAAAAGAAAGGTCTGCAAAACTTCCCAAGGAAACCCAAAGGCCAGCAGCCCCAGGAGAAAAAAAAAAAAACCAGGAGTCATCTACAACATACTGTTGCTAAATAAGACAATTGTAAAGTGAGTTTTCCTCCATTTTACGACCTTCTTGCCATGAAGAGGCCACAACAGTGGTTAAGAGTGAAAAAATGATTCCCAAGTCACTATTTTCAATGCAATTGTAACTTACAAACTGTTGTAAGTTGAGGACTCACATCCTTCTGGAACGTATCTAGCCTACAACTAAGTGCTTGAAATAAATCTTAAAACAAAAACGATTTCCTACCAATAAAATGTCCTTAGGTAATCTTCAACCAACTTGGGTTCTCCATCTATAGCCCCAAAGGAAGTAATTTCACACAGCAAACAGGAAAATAAACTATAGACACGGTGTTTTCTTCACCTACTTGAACCGTGTTCTGCCTTATCACTATGCAGTATAATTTTAATTCTTCGGTGAGTTTCTCCATTCAGAGAGATGGCTTCTCTCCACTCTCCCGTGTGCCTCGCATCAGTAAAATTTCCTTTCACCCCTAAGCTATTTTTGCTCTGAGAAAACCTTCTCTATTGTTGCTTTTTCTGGATTTTTTCCCCCCCTCTTGGTGGTGCATTATGCTTTTGCCAAATTGGAACAGTGCCCTCTCCATGCGCAGCGATGAAAGGAACAGCTCTTCTGAAACCTGGCTGCCCTCCCTTATAAACTTTTCATAATTAATGCCTGTATTCTCTCAAACGGGTGGGTGGGTGCCACACAATGGCACTGCTTGGGAATACAGCGGGCAAAAAATTCATACCAAGTGAGAGGGAAGGCAAGGAACACCCACCTTTTCAGCCTCACCCTCAAAGCTTCTTGCTAATACAGAAGAGCAGAGTTGGAAGGGACCTTGGAGGTCGTCTAGTCCAACCCCCTGCTCAGGCATGGAGCCCTATACCATTTCAGACAAGTGGCTGTCCAGTCTCTTTTTGAAAAGCCTCCAGTGATGGAGCGCCCACAACTTCTGGAAGGAAGCCGTTCCGCTGGTTAATTGTCCTCACTGTCAGGAAGTTTCTCCTTAGTTCTAGGTTGCTTCTCTCCTGGATGAGTTTCCATCCGTTGCTTCTTGTCCTGCCTTGAGGTGCTTTGGAGAATAGCTTGACCCCCCCACCCTTCTTTTTTGTCTGCAAGATGCAGAGTGAGGCTGCAACCATTTGGCTATAGAGAGAAGTAGCCAGAAAAATCAGGATAAAATATCTAAACGTTTTTTTTTACCAACTCCTCCAGATACACATGCATTTCTTATTACTGCTGTTAAATGACATAGTGGCTTCGACAGGAAACACCCAGATTGGCACAGCTCTGTGGTTTACCAGCTGATCTTAACCCAGTCCCTTTTTCCACATTCTCGTACGGTTTTTGCAGCCCACACCACCGACTTTTTAATAAGGGGGTCGGTGGTCCTTTCCGCTGGCAACGATTCCAGGCCGAAAACCACACCGAGGTCAAAATACTGAGAGGCTTTCATTCGCTTCCCCACGCTGGGCCAATTAACTCCAGTTCATCTCCAAAGTAAAGGCTGAGTTTGTTCCTCCACTAGTCTGCCATAAAGGGAGGTGGCTTGATCTGAGGTTTACACAGTTAAAATGTCGACGGATGGAAATGGCTTCAAACGAGGGATACCACTTAAAGAACACAACAAGGCGGATCAGACTTTCTTTGAAAAACCCAAACTAAGACATACTTCAGGCAGACTGATGATGGTCTGTTTTCCAGAAGACAGCAATGTTCCAATATTTGAGGGGCTGCCACAAAGGAGAGGGGGTCAACCTATTTTCCAAAGTGCCGGAAGGCAGGACAAGAAACAAGGGATGGAAACTACTCAAGGAGAGAAGCAGACTAGAACTAAGGAGAAACTTCCTAACAGTGGGACAACCTGCCTCCAGAAGTTGTGGATGCTCCAACACTGGAGCTTTTAAAGAAGAGACTGGACCACCATTTGTCTGAAATGGTACAGGGTTCCCTGCCTGAGCAGGGGGTTGGACTAGAAGACCTCCAAGGTCCCTCCCAACTCTGTTATTCGGATCACTTGGGTTTGCAACAAGAATAGCTGTCCTGTGGGGAATCTGTTAAACCAAGCAGGCTTATTTTGCAGAAAGGGGAAGTTCTGAAAAGGAGAACATGCCGTATCAACTGTATGTTCCCTCGCAAAGACAGAATGGCTTGACGTGGAGCCTTGGCCAAAGCCGAGCCTGCCGGGGTGCCAAAGAAAGCACAGCAAGGGTGATTTCTGAACTCCTGGCTCTTCAACATGCTACTGTGCGGGGGAACAGGCAGGATTTGGGGGTGAGGGAGGGAGAGAATTCCCTTAAGATGAAAAAGCCGTCGGGAGCCTTTCCAGAAAATGAGATCATGGGCAGATGCTTCCACCGACAGAAATATTTTCCATCTAGGCAAATCCTTTTCCATTCTTGCCCAAGACAGGCTCTTAGCCGGGCTATCGGTGGGCAGCCCGACAGTCTTTGTGAGTGAGCGAGGCTTTTAGGAAGGAAGCCGGGGGCTCGGACCCTCTGCCACACCCCGAATTGGCTGCCTTCTTACGAAGGGAGTTGCTGGACCAAAGACAGAGATGGTGGCTGCTAAGGGGACCCCAGGACGCATCCCTGTCCTTCTCTACTTCCATCCTATCAGAGGTTGATGTGCCTGAGAAGGGAGGGGGGAGGCCTGGCGACTCAGACATCGGCCGTCATCTGTGACCCCCAAAACAGGGAAGGGTTTGTAGCTTGCTAGAAGGATGTAATTGGACCGTCACATTCTCAACTGGATGATCACTAAAGCTCCCCAGAATTACTGTAAGTCGGTCACTTGAGTCCAGGATCTCTCATAAAAGTGATCTCGTTGGAGGCGGTGGTGGTGGAGGAGGAGGAGGAAGAGGAGGAGGAGGAGAAGAAAGAAAGAAAGAAAGAAAGAAAGAAAGAAAGAAAGAAAGAAAGAGGAGGAGAGAGGAAGAAGGAGGAGGAGGAGGAGAGAGGAAGGAGGAGGAAGAGGAAGGAGGAGGAGGAGAAAGAAAGAAGAAAGAAGGAGGAGGAGGAGGAGGAGAAGAAAGAAAGAAAGAAAGAGGAGGAGAGAGGAAGGAGGAGGAGGAGGAGAGAGGAAGGAGGAGGAAGAGGAAGAGGAAGGAGGAGGAGGAGGAGAGAGGAAGGAGGAGGAAGAGGAAGGAGGAGGAGAAAGAAAGAAGAAAGAAGGAGGAGGAGGAGGAGGAGGAGAAAGAAAGAAAGAAAGAAAGAAAGAAAGAGGAGGAGAGAGGAAGGAGGAGGAGGAGAGAGGAAGGAGGAGGAAGAGGAAGGAGGAGGAGGAGGAGAGAGGAAGGAGGAGGAGAAGGGAGGGAGGAAAGTTTGAGCCTGGGGCAAGGAAATAATTCAGAAAAACCATCTCCAACAACCCTTCCCCTTGTTCGCCTGGAGATGAAAGCGAGGGAAGCCCATTCAGACTGGCAAAACTTCTGTTACTGTAGCATAAAAACAATCCTGAACCAGAGGACTTTGGTTTCCTAGACTGGTCCATCTCATCATCCCCATCTACTGCTTCTCTGCTCCTGGAAACGTGCACCCAGGTAACTACGCAAATCTCCAAACCTGTTAAAAACCTGCTACAAAAGCCCTAACTGGAAAGAGGAGGGGGTGGGCTGCCACAACGAGCCGAAACATTCTTTTCTTGGCTACGATGCTTGAAGAAAAACAGCGCTGGCTTGGCTCCAATTTATACTTTGGGCCGCTGGCTAGTCATGCTCCGAAAATCTGAACAGGTGTGGTTAGGGTTTGGGGGCTGCTAGCGTATCTGCATTAAACAACCGACAGCTGAAACGCCGTTCGGTCCTCTAAATCAGTGTTTCTCAACCTTGACAATTTTAGGGCATGTGGACTTCAACTCCCAGAATTCCACAGCCAGCATTGCTGGCTGTGGAATTCTGGGAGTTGAAGTCCACATGCCTTAAAATGGTCAAGGCTGAGAAACACTGAGTCTAAGGCAGTATTTCTCAACCTTGACAATTTTAAGGCATGTGGACTTCAACTCCCAGAATTCCACAGCCAACATTGCTGGCTGTGGAATTCTGGGAGTTGAAGTCCACATGCCCTAAAATTGTCAAGGTTGAGAAACACTGCTCTAAATACAGGAAGCCCTCAACTTACAGCAGTTCATTTAGTGACCGTTCAAACTTACAACGGCCTACATTCTTTGGAATTCTCCAACCAAACCTATCCAGTTGACGTATTCGAACTGACGCAGTCAAACCACTGGAGGAGGAAAAGTGACCCTTTGGCCAATTATTCCCCTCTTTGAGCAAAAAAAATAATAATAATTACAGTGCTTTAATAGAAGAATGAGAAAAACATAACTTTGAGAACAGCTTTGGCTCAAACACATCTTATTCATTGAAACCTTTTCCACGTTCGCTTGCAACTTTGAAGAGGGCCGAACCCGGGGGAAAAAAAAGAATAATTTCTCAATCTCCGATTGACCGACAGCCCCCGCCCCCCCCCAAAATGCCCTCCATCCACAGTTTGCCAAACCAGAGGCATCATTTTCAAAGGTTCAGCAAAGAGTCAGAATACGAAGCCAAGAACTCTGTGGTCTCCTTGGTCTTTAGATGAAATTTAGATGAAGGGTTCCATGGATTAAGTAAGGGACGGTCAAACTTTCCTGCGGAGAAGAATCAACAGCCTTATTAATCTTGGTAGGGCTGGGGATATTTTGGGGGCAAATTAATGGGGGAGTTTTGCCAAAGCTGACAAGAATCTGTAAGGTGGGATCCAGAGGGCCACCCCGGGAGTCAGATGAATGGAATCAAGTCAGAAAAGCTTGAATAAATCAGATGGGATTTTTTCCCCCCTTTAATCTACTGGCACCCAACTAGAAAAGGGATAGATAGATAGATAGATAGATAGATAGATAGATAGATAGATAGATAGATAGATAGATAGATAGATAGATAGATAGATAGATAGATAGATAGATAGATAGATAGATAGATATGGTTTACTGGATTTCTCTGAAGGTATTATTTTCTATGGTCAATTGACTTAATAAAATTTCCATCCATCTATCTGCTTGTCTATCTCTCCATCTCTCCATCCATCTACCCATCCATCCATCTATCTCTGTCTGTCTTTGTCTGTCTCTATCTCATCTCTATCTATCTCATCTCTATCTCTATCTCTATTTCTGTGTCTGTCTTTGTCTGTCTGTCTCTGTCTGTCTGTCTATCTATCTATCTATCTATCTATCTATCTATCTATCTATCTATCTATCTATCTATCTATCCCTTTTCTAGTTGGGTGCTATCTATCTATCCCTTTTCTAGTTGGGTGATCTATCTATCATCTCATCTGCCTTTTTTTCCTTGAGATTCTGTTCTAAAGGCCTGCAGAAATAAAGAGAAAAGATGAATGGATGGAAACCAATTAAGGAGAGAAACAACCTGGAATTAAGGAGAAACTTCCTGACAGTGAGAACAATTAACCAGTGGAACGGCTTGACTCCAGAAGTTGTGGGGGCTCCATCACTGGAGGTTTTCAAGAAGAGATTGGACAACCATTTGTCTCAAATGGTGCAGGGTCTCCTGCTTGAGCAGGGGGTTGGACTAGAAGACCTCCAAGGCCCCTTCCAGCTCTGCTATTCTGTGATTCTGAATGGTAAAAGTAAATCAAACTCCAGAACCAACAAACTCAAACGCTCTGCGGTCATGGGACATACTTTCCACAATATTTTGTGTATGGTTGGCATTGCTAATACTAACTCCTATTTCCAAACATTTCATCTCATACGTTAATATGTGAGCTTGGTTTAAGGAACCACAGTTTTATAGCTATTTCAAGTGCCAATACTAAAAAAATGGCAGATAGTTGATATAGGAAAATGCTGGTCATTCAACATCCTTCAGTCCCATCCTCGCTTTCCATGTAATATTTAAATTGGTACTCTCTCATGCTGGCTGACTTTTTTATGAGTGGTATTTCATTTATTTCACCCAATGTCAGCCTCGTATTCAAGTATCTTAAGCTAGTGGGACTCTTTCATCTATACAGAAGAAAAGGCTAGGTTTTTTTTTAGGGACTTAACATCAACAGATCTTATCTTCCACAATTATTTTCAAGGCACAGATAACTTATTCTAGAAACCACACAGTCGTCATTCTAGTTTCAATAAGCCACACTGGCGTTATGTAGATCAGGAGCCAATTAAAACAAACAAGCGCAAAAGACTGTTTTCGTATATTTAAAGCGGCTCCTTATGCAAATATTTCTGGCTTTTTCAAAAAGTCTTAGGAATACTTTTGTCTCCGGTGCAGCAGTTCTGAGTATATGTGCAAAGCAACGGAATAATATTAATTATAAGAATGATACAATAAGAGGGGGTAGCAGTATATTATAGTATTATATTAGCAGTCGTATCTGAAACCATACGTATGTCAGGAATTCAATTTTCCAATGATCTGGATAAGAAAGGTTTTTCCTTGCATTTATTCAC